GAGTGACAGAAGTCGATCAGGTGTTCCAGAATAGAGCTTCGCACACACTTACTTTCTCCCTTGTAAAACCATGCTGGAATATGTTCTCGTATCCGTGTGGAAAGCGTCCTCTGACTACGGCCAATGTACCTTGCTCCACAAGAGCAGGTGAACTGATAGATGCACATGGAGGCGGTCAGACGAGGGAGCTTATCTCTTACAGAGATGGAGAACAACTTGCGGCTGGTGAAAGTCATTTGTAATTTTGCTGCGAGGAACGTCTTATTGACTGCTTTAGAGAGACATTTTTGAGTATATCTGAAGCTTGATCACCTTTAACTTCCAAGTTCATGAATAAGGTTTTCTTTGGAACTGAGTCGGTGGCCAGTTTAGGCTGCTTATCTTTCGTGTTACTGTCAATAAATCGGTTCGGGTAACCGTTTTCTTCAAGCGTGGCTTTTAAAACTTCAAGTTCTGAGACAACGCAATCACAACTATAAATGTTTCTTATTCTAAAGCAGAGTGAATGAATTAGGTTCCTTTTCCTGGAGATAGGCATTCAACTGTAAAAATTAGTTAGTTGCCCGTTCCATGTATGTTTCCAGTGGATGGATCTTTTGAGAGATCCATCATTACGTCTACTAAGGCACACATCAAGAAACGAAATACTTAGTTCAGATTTGTTTTCTATGGTGAATTGTAAAGAAGGATGGCAGTTGTTGAAAGCACACAAGACATCTTCAAGAATTACTTTATTATCGCAGATAACGAAAGTGTCGTCTACGTATCTTTTATAAATGTCGAAATGATCGATGGTTCGATTAAGTTGAGGGTTTGCAAGCTTTGCCATAAAACAGACGGCCAGCAAAGGATCCAGTGGTGATCCCATCGCAATGCCATCCCTCTGTCTAAAAGTCTCAATGACGAAGTTGGATTGAACATTCAACGTGCATCTCAATAAAAGTTCTTTGAAGCGGACTGTCGACAACCCTGTTTCTAAACTATGTGTATCAATATAATCACATGTATAGCAAACAGTTTCCAAGAGAGGTACATTGGTAAATAGCGAAGTCTCGTCTAATGAGAACATGACTTTGTCTGAGACATTAAAATCTTTAAAACTCTCAATAAATTTAAACGTATCACCAATGGAAAACTTAGACACTTGAGCTATTCCGTGATAAGGAGAACTCGCCATATCGAGAATTGGACGAAGGGGTAATCATGTCTTGTGAATTTTTGGTAGTCCATACAAACGGGGTATTATGGAGCCTACTGGTTGTATGTGTTCATATATATCTGACGAGATTACTGACTTATTCCTCATGTTCTTTAAGACATCAGTCAGTTGATTTTCAATTAGATGTGTCTTTTTCTTTTCACCATCGGGTTTGGCGAATTTCATTTGGTCGAAAAGGATCGCTGAGATTTTATCACTATAATCTTGGCGATTCATAACTACAACACCCTCACCTTTGTCTGGACGGCATATAATAATATCATCATTCTTCTCTAGTTCTTTAAGTTGATCTATATACTCTTTAGTCAGAAGATTATTTGAGCTAAGTTTCGAACTAGTAAACTGATGACAGCAATCAAGAACTGTAGATTTAAAGTGTTGGAATTCCTGAGGTGATGTGAGCGTGAGATCGTTGGTCTGGTTAATTAAATTTTCGGATTGCACTTGAGTATGCAACCTGTTGACTTTGGACGAACTGTTACAGAAATTGGGACCTATTGATAGGGCTTGTAGTTGAGTGATGGAAGAATTATCAAATACATATTTATTGGAATCAGTCGGAAATCTCTTTTCTGCTACTACCTGCTTGAGGCTGTCAAGATGTTTGAGATTAGCAGACTGGGACTGTTTTTCGATGACAAGAGAAATGCATTCTTCAAATTGTCGGCGTTCATATTGTTTCAACTACCCAATTATAACAGAAACTTCGGGTGTACTTTGACATTTTCGAACAGAAATTCCATATTGGATAATTTTATGTGATATAACACATAGTGATAGAGTATTAATAACTAGTTGACATTTCGAGCGCAATTCATTGTTCCTAATCACATCAATGTGACATTGAAACAAAATGTCATTTGCTTATTAGTACAGTGTCACTATGCGTTGATTCGAATAAACTTATCTCTTCATTATAGATAAGATTTTATTTTGATAAATCACCACAGTGTTATACAGCAATATTAACTGATATTACTGTATAACACTGTGTGATTTATCAAAGTAAAATCTTATCTATAATGGAGTTATACTCTACCACATTGCCCAAGTTTTATACATATATCAGTAAAACTTATCTTTTGTCTTCTTTTTAAGTGTTGGTTTCCAGGGTTTTCACTGATTTCAAGTTAGGTCGCGAAATAACTTCAGTTATGAGGCCTCGTATCCGGGATATCGTGAGTACTTACTACTGAACTGTCATAGACTAAGAAAAGAACATGTGTCTAGTATTCCCTAGTTTCCGGTTTTTCTCTAAGTGATATCAGTTGGTGATTGAATTGTAATGTGGAATTTAATTCTACTGTGGTGAGAGCTGTCTACTAGCCAAATTGGTAGACAGTAATTTACGTCAATGTTTACGTTCCCAAGATTTGTCGTGAGAAACAACCAATCGGAAGACTGTGTTTGTTTACTTAAATATCCATAGTAATGTACGTGAAAACATATATAAATATGCGTTGATTTCCTTAATAAATGATCTGTTGCCTGACTCTTGCCTTCTGTCGTTACACTACTATACTGTTTAAATTCTACTCTTAAATTTGAGCAGAAAACCAAGAGAAACGTTTTGGGCATAACTGAGGTTGTCGAAGTGTTTGAAATATGTAGATCGAAATTCGCAAAGCATTAACAAATTTCAGCATTGAAGTGGTTTTAAAAGGAATCAATATTCTATGTACATCATGAATGACAATAGAATAATATTAAATCCAATTTATCATTTATTTAATTGTTGGTCAGAGAATACACATGTGGGTAACAGTCACCCGAGTTATTCAATAAACGTCTGACACTAGCCAAAGTTGTCAGACTGCACTTGAAGTGTTTACCAGCTGGATTATGTGAAAATATATTTATGGAAATTGAAGTATTGATATCAGTTACTACCGGATGGAGACATTTTAAAGTGGTTCATTTATTGGAGGAATCACCAACACATCAGAATGCTTCCTGAAAATAAAGATCTACTTCTACATAGGGATTAAAGCTGCTTGATAACACTTACTTTTATTCTATAAAAAAGTTTCATTGATAATCAGCAAGAATAGACTAATCAATACGAAGTGTTGTGGGTGAAATCTTAGATATGCTAATACCTGCCGGAACCAGTCTCCAACAGAAACTTCCGCAATGTCTCCAGGCGTCAGGTTTCAAACTTTCATAGCTTTTCTATCGATATAATCTTAACGAATAACTTTAATGGTGTCCGACTGGTACTCAATTAAACCTTCGATTGCAGACTAAGCATTACGTTTCGACAACACCTCCACTATGTCATGATGATGCGTTTCAAACTGATTTTCGATACAAAATCTACCTCTAAGAAGACCTAAAGTAATCGATTTTATGGACGAGTGTCACATTTTTTGATTGTGTATTAATCCAAGTAATTTCGTCAGTCATGGTAACTAGGGGCTCTTTATTATCATTACTATTATTATTAATAATAATGTTGTTATTGTTAATATTTTCAGGTTTTGGCTTGCAGGGACTTGATTGACTTCAAGATTGGTCACGAACTGACTTCATTTTGAGAACCGTATAAAATCATGGAGTGCGGCACAACTGCTTCGTCCTTCTTTTGCGCTCCTCAGAAGTACGTCCCCATGACCTCACTAGAGATAGAACCCTAGATCTTCAGATTACAAGGAAAGCTCGTAAACCATATTGTGAATTGTCAGAAGTTAGAATTAATAGGCCATTGGATTCTGTCCCAATGTCTGAATGGTATATGAGCTCGCATTTTAACCTGGTGGTCTTGGATTCCATCACTGGTGTGTACTATTGAAGAGCCCCAAATGAGGGAGAAACAACTGTTCATTACTGTCTCGTTTTCAGCAGTTCCCTAACTGAAGTCAGTCCGTAATCAATCTTGAAATTATTAGTTTTTATAATTATAACATCTGTGTACATAGCTCAAACCAGAAACTTATTGTAGCCATAATGCACTACCAAAAGAAGACTCAAAGTTCAAGGTTTTTATTTGCATACTTCTAGTTGTTGTTGTTGTTGTTATTCAGTGGATATATGGGGGTGCAAAGCATACCCTTGGACTGTAATTCAAAATGTTATAAATACTGTAAGCAGCAAACAATTTACTCATGAATACACTGTGAAAATCTAATCCACATAAGACGTTAGTTATTTTTAATATATGTGTAAAACTTGAGCACTGTGGAAGTATATAATTCCATATTAATTCGTTTATTAGATATATCACACAGCGAAACAGTAGTATATACTGAATGACATTTCGAAAACAATTTTGATATGACGATTATGGACAATAAATTGTGTTCGAAACGTTATCTAGTATATGATGCTGTTTCGCTGTGTGATATATTTAATAAATAAATTAATATGGAGTTAGTCATTTTTATTCTTCAGCAACTAATTAAAATGTCTCCTGATAAGAGTGACCAGCATGACCTTACTTATGAGATTACTAGACAACATTATTTCTGGTGAAGTAAAATGCTTCATTTAGGTACTCAGCTGACGCTATTAAACAACTAGGCGTATCTACCTCAACGTTTTAATTTAGGATTTTCATGGACTGACTATAAACTGGAATTTAATATTCATATTAAACTTCTATCAATTGTAGAAGATCAATGCTTTTAAAGAACAATTACTGGTTTTATCAGTCTTAGACTATATATTCCTTATGTTTAAAAGCCTAATTCAAGTTTGTGTTTTTTCTCCGAGGCTTACACTGTAATGAAAATGTTTCCAGCACGTTATTTTTATTTTTTTTCCTTTTTTATTAAATATCAAGTGAGGCTGTTACAGAATCTCTCACAAAAGACAAGACAAATTTATTGAGAGAAGAAACTTTTCAGAGTAGTCAAAAGCAAGGCAGTAGGTCGTATGAATCAAATAAAAAATGTGAGTCAAATTCATCATTCGATGAAACCTATGACACTTCCGAACAAGTAAACAGTGAGATTGCTGAGGCAGAATATACAAATAGTCAGAATAAAAGCCCAATATTTCGTGGATCAGATTATTCACATGCAAAGTTTTTGACAGACGGTAGTGAGACAAGTCAAAAAAATGTGTCAGATAAATCCGATAAAAAGAAAGTAAAAGAAGGACAGTCAGACGAAAACAGTGAGTATAGAGAAAAGCAATCACCTTCACCTTCTGGTGACAGTACAGACTCAACCATAAGCAAACCTTATTACCAGTCCTCGCGGAATTCTCCTGTAATACAAACTGCAAATGCTAAAAGGCTTACAAAAGTGAAAAGAACCGAGCATACACTTCATAATGAACTTAATAGTGATATTTATAATAGAAGTAATGAGTCTGTTCATGTTGCACAAATTGCAAATGCTTTGAAATCCTTTGATAAGAAAATGCGCTGTCTTCATATTCGTCCACCATGGAGAGATCCAAACTCGAAACCCCTGCCAAGTGACAGAACAACTGCAGTCTACCAAATGTATGAAGATTATTTAAAATGTCAAAATCAGCGCCCATTTTCAAAATTAGAACGTTCAACGTCCCAATTTATCAATGATAAGATAGCTGTACATAGATTGTATCACTCAACATTGAATCGTTATCGACAAAATGAGAAGATCCAAATGGAGAACTACGTAAATATAATATTTGACGGTTTGCTAAATTTGCATGCACTTCTTTATCTAATCATTGAATTCAAATTTTTTTCATTCTTTTGTGTTCCGAGTGGGAAGTGGGACTTCAAGCTGTGCCTTGAAGTTTCCGTACTGGTAATTTTGTTTTTACAAGGTTAGACTGGTAGTCTAACCACCAGTTTTCCCAATTTACCGTGATTACTACCAGCTAAGCGAGGTTTAAGATTTCGTCTGCCGAGAGTCGTAAGGTAACTACACATGCAGTTGACGGGATTCTGAAATCGAACCAGCTACAGATTAAATACAGGTGTGAAATAACCGTCTATCATTTTTCCTCATATCCTGTCGATTAGACAGTCTTGTATATGTGTCTTCTATTCAGCAAAACACTGAAAAATATTGCATCGATATGAGAATTTTTGAAACAGACTGTCATATTTCTGCGAAACCTTTACTGACTAACTGACTGGTTTCATCGTAGAACTTTGCACGGATGTGCAGCAGTCCGAGATGCCACACTCCATGTACCACACAAAGCAAGAGAAGAGAGTGAAGGGAGATTCCAATGAAAGATAATAAACAGAGAAATGAGGTAAAAAGAATAGTAATATGGAAAAACAATATAATTTTATTGGGTATTATAAGTCACAAGGAATGAATGAATCTGTGCCAGCCATTGAGAACAATTTTGAGCCAGTTGTCTCCAGGCATTGGTTTTTACCATTCCGAGTACCACAACCAGGAAGCCAGTCTACACCTCCCAACGTGGCTTAAACTAATTGTTGTGGATTTCATCGACTGATGAAGCCATGATTCGGTTTGACCACCACTGGCTCTTTTCCAACCTGATCCATCCTTTGTCAGCTAACATTGCCCATCTAGAAAGGCGATGGCTAGGAATGCATGTGTAACACATGTCCTAACTACCTCAATCGATGTAAATTCACAACGTCGTCAATTTATTTCTTCTGCTTACTTAACACTCGATGCCTAACCTCAATATTGTTCACCTATTATCCAACTTAACACTGGAGATAGAACGCAGGCACCTATGATTAAAGACAGCTAGTCTTTTCATGTCTTCCACATTCAATGGCCAGGTCTTACAGTCATAAAAGAGGACGAAGCGAACTGCTGAGCAGTACACACCCTTTGGTCGACAGCCAGCCGGATATGACATCTACTCCAGAGATGGCGTAAGTTGACATATGCCAAACGAGCCTTCTGTATCCGTGCTGAGATTTTGTCAGCGATCAACGCTCTGGCATTGGCTTGATGCAACTCTCCAAATAAATGAAGTGGTCAAAACGCCCAACCACCACTTCACTTCTGCCTATCTTTACGTTGGGAGTCAATGTAGTCCAGTCCTGTAGCCAAATCATCTTACATTTGGCGGTAGCGAATCCCATACCAAACATTCACAGACTGTTGCTCCTCAAGGTGTTGAGAAGACTCTGCTCTATTTTGTCAGCGTCTTCATCACCTAGAAGGACTATGTCATCCGCATGCATATTCTAAGTCAACGAGATTATTCCCTGGTGGTAGGAAGTCACTCTTTGAGTCGCTGAAATCAGTTAGGGTTAATTCCATTAGTACATCTATGATGAAATTGAATAGGAATGGGGATACTGGGCATCCCTGACGGACACCACTGGTTGTCACCACTTCAGATGACAACTCACCGTAAGCTCTTAACTGGCTGAGTTCGAGTAGAGTGCCTTGACCAGTGCAATGTATTTTCTTGCCATAGTACCTGTCGATCGACGGAATCGAATTCCGCTTTCAGGTCAAGAAATATGACGATTGTTGGACGCCGGTAAGTATGCCTATGTTTCAGAATCTGTTGAAAGGTGAAGATATGATCAATACATCCTCTTCCTGGTCTAAAGTCTGCCTGGTTCTCTCGTGTTTGTTCCTCCTGAGCACCACTTAGTCTACGCATGATTATGGCGCCTAGAACTTTAGATACCATATTGGTCAAGCTAATCCCTCTGGGATTATCACAGGGATACTTGTCTCCCTTCTTGTATATCGGGATAATCAACGGAACCCAACGGAACTTCCTCTGATTTCCAGACGCTGCCTAATACCTTGGTTAAGGCAGACAGTAAACTGTCTCTACCGTAATTAAACACCTCTGGAGTCATTCCATAGGGTCCCACAGCTTTGCCTCGTTTCAGACTAGTGACAGCTTTTGCAACCTCAATTAGGGACGGAGGACCAGTGTTTATGTTTATGGCGTTGGATGCTGGGTAATTTGAGCGTGACTGTAAGCCAATTAAATTGCTCCTCAAAGTGTTCTTTCTAACGCTCAAGTTGGCTATCCTGGGAGCTAATTATGGTGTCATTTTTCTTGGAGATTGTTTCTCTTATTATTTGCCTTTTACTACCTGTTTCGCTGAAATCTTTAGTATATTCGTTGTCCTGATGTGTCGATTTTGTCAAAAACTTAAAGTCTCTATCTTCCCCGATAATTTACTTTCTTACGTCTTCCTGTATGCAGCGTTTCGTTCACCTGCACGTGTTATACGTTGGAATCTCCCAAGTGATTTGCAAGAACTACAGTTTTAGCAGAATAAAATGGTACCATCTTTTATTTCGTTGCTTTCTAGTCATCTGCTTACAGGGCAAAGGCATTATTAAATGTATCTACTGATTCCTTAACTTCTACTGTGTGTCGGTGATCGAAATGTGTATACAAGTGTTTAGATGACATGAGGTTTAGAAAGAAGAGATGTAGTGGCGACAATGACAGCAAGAATAAGTAAGATAAAGTATGGATGCATTTCTGTCCTCGTGTGTGGGACTCTACTTTCTATGTTTTAACGTTTCTGTATATTAATTTAAGGTATCTCATGACTCAAAAGCCAAAGACTTTAATAGTATCCCACCGATCAATTTATTTAAACTGTAATCCGGTTTCCATCCCTTGATACCAAGTAGACTGTTCATATATGTATATATGCTTAACAGACTAAGTAGCATACTTCCAACTATAACCGAATGTCTTGGATAAAAGAATGAAATATGTTTATGTATCCAAAGAAGATTGGAGCAGTCGTACGCTGTTCAGCATTAAATATGTAAAGGCATAAGACAAGTGACTTGGTAACGGAATGTTTCCTTGGAATTTGATATATCTTTATAGGGAAATTTTGTACACCTTATGTGAAAATCATCATTTGTGCAGATCTTTCATGCTATGCCACTTCTACCCTTCATGTTCTGTTGCTTCGTCTTCTTTTCGTGTCTCCCATGTTTTGCCGCAACATTCATTCATTTTCGCTCTTTGATGTTAAATCTATCTCTCCGCCATTTGATATTTAATGCCGGTAAACGTCTCTTTATATACTACTGATAAATCTTGCCAGTAACACGGGCCATAAGTATCCATGGGTAGTATATAAAGTGAATATTCCACATTACTTGGTAATTATACTCAGGTTGCATTTATATTCGCTCACTAAGATGTCAAATAGTACATTAAAAAAACAATGAAAATGGAGACATTAATTGATTTTCATTATATTAGGTTCACTGATATCAAAGGTAATTGTTAAAATGCTGTACAGACATTTTGTTCAAACATCTCTTCTCAACTATGAGTCAGTAGTGTGAACATTGGATTCTTAAACCGTAGAACACTGAATTTTTCAGAAACAAGATGGTTTTATTCTATCATTCACACATTCCAAATTCCTCTGTGTTAGGGTAGTTTCATATTTTTACATATCAGAATTTGTATTTGAAAAGTTTTTAACATGGAAGGAATTATGTCTTCTTTCTGCATTAAAATAAATTCAAGGAATTGGCTAAACGTCTACAGAAAATTCGTCCTACAACCGGTATGACAAGAGAAGAACAACTAAGAGATTATAAAAAGTATTTTGTTACACCGAATTTATCTCACGCCTATTCGAAGACAATATCACCTCCACATTATCAACGAGATTCATATGTAAATCATGGCGCATCATCCATGAATAAAAATAGTACAAAAATTATGGACCCAAAACCGAGAGATTTTATAATTGATTCACGTCAAACAACGTCTAGTTTCAGTGGTAGTGTACGTCCACTACAAGGAAACTACAACCAAAGTCAAATGAACATAAGTTGTGTAAAAAAAAGAGCAAAAATGCTGATAGAAAGACAAATCTAGAAAATTCCCTCGATCCGAAACAACAAAAAAGAGTCATCTGCAAGATTTTCACAAAATCATGATATCAAGGATTCTAAAGAAAAGCATAAACATATATTCACTGAGACAACATTTAACAACTATACTTCATTGTCATCAGAATCATTTCAGTAATGCACAGCTTCCGTCAACGCTTAAAAATCGAATGGTAATACAATCTACAGTGACGACCAGACATTTTGTTTACTTTCGCTCACATGAATATTATGATGATGTGATATTTTGTTTGCAGAATGTAAAATAAACACTATTCTTTTTTTTTGTCCACAATGAATGACCCTAACACACGCTTGTTTGAAGAAATGAAAAAAAAAACTATGTTAATTACTGAATGACTGACTGACATTATTTGTTCAATTAGCCAGCTACCAACTTCCTGAAATACTCTAACAAAACTGGGATTGTTGTTTTTCATAAATTTCATTTCAATTCCCTTACTTATTATTTTATCATCATTTCATTCTCAGCTTTGTTAAAGCATTCTATGGTAAGAAAAATAGTTTTGGGAGATAACGATGTTTTTTCTCTTCGAAGAATTTGTTTTCACTGTAAGAAACTTACACCTGTATTTAACTATGCTTTAAAATGTTTGAAGTGTATCCATTCAACTTTTTTTCAGTCTCTGTTGTTTACTTATTAGCGTATAGACTGATTTCATTTTTGTGATACGTCAGTGTGTGAGTAGTGACAAAAACTCTCTGTAAGTTAACTTAGTGTGCTAAGTATACAACTACATATATAAAAAAGTAAGGTCTTTTTCAATACAAAAGTGGTCAATTGACAAGTTTTCCACTATTGTTAACTATTTGCAAACCATCTGCTTTCATCTTTCATTTTATGGTAATCAGTGAATGTTTTACTTCCTCTTATAACCTTTACAAACATTGCTCATTATTGATATGATTGAATTCTATGTTCTTTCAACAATAGGATGAAACAATATAAATTATAGTAAGTGTTGACTGAGAGAACGAAAGTCACTTCATTCCTTGTATTATTATACATGCAGTTGTTTTGCTTAATCGAGGTGATAATAAGGAGTATGTCTTTTCACTAATATAAATCAAGTTTGTGTCACCTATTTTTATATTGGAAAACAAATACATTACCTGTAGTTGTATTAAATAGAACAGCTTGTTTATCAACAATTAACTCCTCCTGACGTTTATTTCTACCACCTCGTGAAATGTAAGGCTTTACTTGTTATTATTCAGATTGGTAATTCTAGTTTTTTATTTTTCGTTAAACATACAACACTATTTTCAAATTAGATCGTAAGTTGACAATAGTTATAGAGCCATTGAAAAACAGAGAGCACTAAACAGCTGTTTCGTCCTATTTTTGTTCTCCTCAACAGTACAGACCCATGACCCTACAGGGGGTGGGACCCAGAAAGTTCACGTCATGGCAGAGACTACTGACCATTCAGCCAGTGAGATGGAATCCAGTGACCGATCTGTTAATTCTAATTACCACTAATTAGCGCCATATAGCACTACTGCAAGCATATGTCATAGTTCAGTATTTTTCTGCATATCTGACTTGGAGGACCTGGCTAGTCAGATGAAAACATTTTATTTTTTTCGCAAATGAATTATTTGTATAGTAGGTCTTAGTTTAGTTTTTAAAGAATAATATATGCAGAAAAACTGTGTTCTTTATATTCTTTTAAATGAGTCAACACAAAAGTGTTGAAACAGTAAAATAACATTGACTGGCAATGTATGCACGAGCTGTCTAGAATCCGAAATTAATATATTCAGGTTATTTGAAGATCATAAAACACAATTTTGAAAATGACTGATGACTTTGTATTGTCATAATTATGTCATGTTGGAAGTATATTGTGTCATATCTCCATATTCCGTTTACTTGATACGTGTATAAGAATGAATTTTTGTAAGAATGTTTTGTGATATTATACAGTGAAAAATGTATATAATCAATGAAATGAAAGTCATCTACTAAACTGGAAGCTGATTTTCATCTAGAATGAAGGAGTTTTTGATTAGCTACTTAGTCAATGAAGCAAGATATATGTGTGGTGAGAGCTGTCTGTTAGCCAAATTGGTAGACAGTAATTTACGTCAATATTTACGTTCCCAAGATTTGTCGTGAGAAACAACCAATCGGAAGACTGTGTTTGTTTGTTTACATATCCATAGTAATGTACATGAAAACATATATAAATATGCGTTGATTTCCTTAATAAATGATCTGTTCAAATAAAGTATAATTATATTTTAATAGTTTACACACAATGATAAGTTTTGTTATTGGTAATATTTCGAGCAAAATTACTGCCCGTGTTCACACCAGTGTTGGAATTGTTTGATCTGTTGCCTGACTCTTGCCTTCTGTCGTTACATATGTTAATAAATCACAGTATCCGTAGGTATGCCTAGGTATTAATTAAAGTCTCAATATGAATGTATCAATTGGTTTGCTCTTCATACATAATACAAACTTTAAAGTAAATATGATAAGCTATTCATGCCAATACGCTGGAGAGAAGAAAGATAACTATGATAAGAATAATTTGAATAGACTGAAACAAACGTTATCGTATTTGTGTTAATAACTTTATCAGTGGAATAAAGAAATAAATTAACTGCTGTATGCACTTGAAAGTTATGAGTTTACTTTACCTGTTGGTTATTGTGTTACAAATACAATGTATTATTGTAAATACAGGCGACGATATTTGACAATCATAATTTTTAAGAAATGATTTACTGCCCTGGGTCAAGAAACTGAGACAGTAATTCTATTTCCTACATTAATATTACTCGAACGGAGTGTTGAAATCACATGAAGTGCACTCCATCGATATTCACTCTACTATTTTTTCATCTGATGAAGATAAGAGCAACTTCTGTCATGACTTCTAGTCATTAATTCATAACTGGCTCGAAATAACTACCAACATCACACAATAATGTTGTTCAGCTTGATAATAAATTCGTCATATAAAGAGTCTCTTCTCTGAATCACTTGTTTTGATTTTCTATATAACTCATTATTTCGTATTTATACCATGGAAACACAATTTCATGAAACATTTATCTAAATAGTCATACTCCTTTCACAATGTTCATTGTTCAGACAAATACCAATTTAATATTTCTTCTGATTTCTTAGTAAGACTTGCTATCATAATGGATAATGTCCATGTTTGTAAAAATGGCTTGTTCAAGATATATTATTATGATTATTACTATTTAGAGTTAGTAAAAACCTGGTTCTGAATTCTAACATGGCAATATAAAGCTTCAACCTCGCCTAGTTTACTAGCTCGCTATTATTCTAGCTGGCCCCAGACCCTGGAGAAGAAGGAGGGTTGAGTGTGGGGCTAGCGACCCGACCCCACAAAACCAATTGAACTGATACAGAAACTTAAACACACAATAGAAATATTAAAAATACTAAAAAAAATTAAAAAGCAATCTTATTCTCCGCAGTATCTGGAAAGGCAAAATAACACAGCGGTCTGGTGAAAATCTTCGGGAAGCCTGTCAACTGATGTGTCTTCTGTCGATGAAAACAAGAATAGGAATGGGGACGTGGAATGTTCGTACAATGTACGAGACTAGGAAGGCTGCCCAAGTAGCCAAAGAAATGAGAAGATACGGCTTAAAAGTGCTAGGAATGTGCGAGAGCAGATGGATGTAGATTATCAAAATTGTCAACTGGAGAGTCAGTAATCTACTCCGGTCACTCAGACGACAACCCCGAGCACACTGAGGCAGTGAGTGGATATCATGATGTCACCAGTGGCTGCTGAAACCAAATTGCAGTGGGAACCAACTTCATTCAGAATAATGACAGCAAAATTCAACTCAAAAGGAAGGAAGGTTACAATTATCCAATGCTACGTACAGTGCTACAAACAACGCAGAACAAGAGAAGAAGGAGGATTTTTACAGACAACTACAAATAATGATGGACAATATCCCAAGGGGCAACATCAAAATCCTTATGGGCGATATAAATGCTGGACGAATTAGGAACGGACAATACAGGAAGAGAACTCATCATGCGTCTAGAGGATCTCGGAGAAATAAATGACAACGGAGAACTATTCGCAGACTTCTGCGCTTTCAATGATTTGGTGACCGGATGTAGCTTTTACAAGCACTAGGATATACACAAAGTAACATCTATTTCGCCTGGCTGATACACCAAAAACCAGATAGACTTCATCTCAAGGAAGTGGAGATTCAGCCTGCTAAACACAAAGTCGAGAAGAGTAGAAGATGAGGGTTCAGAATATCATTTAGTACAAAGAACCTTCAGGGACAATTTGGAAGCTTTCAAAGAAGCTGGAGACAGACCATAATTCAAGTTCAACATTCAGAAACTGAAGGACAAAACTATAAGGAATACCTTCACTACAGATCAGATCACAGCAGGGTCGGAAACACTACGTGGCATCACTGAGGAAATCTGTGTGGAAAAGCACTGGAACTCTCTGAAAGTGATGTATGAGGAAATGTGTACAGTAGTTTTAGGAAGAAAGATGAGACAAGACAAGGGACGGCTATCTACTGACACGTGGAAGCTGATAGACGAGATAGGGATGGTGAAAGAGGAGAGGAGAGAATGCAATTATGGACGGCAGAAAAAGAAGTTGAGTTCAATATACACCACACTGAATAAAGAAGTGAAGAAGAGAGCTAGGAAAGACAAATGACAATTCCACGACACACACAACAGAAGCAGAATAGGTGGGCTGCAGGTTTAAGAGACCTCAGAGAATTATATCAGACAACCAGGTTTCTATCCGGGAACATATCAACACCAGCACAAAACGCCATCAATGGGAGTTACCCATTTTACTTATCTAGGTAGAATCGTTTCAATTACAATCGGCACTGGTGAGGCTGGCAAAACCATAATCTCAAAGGCAAGGCCCACCTTCATCACTCTAAATTTAGTTTGAAAGACTTCTGCACTCAGTA